TGCTCTTAAAAAGAAAGAAGGAGAGAGAGATAGATTAGGGGAGAATGCAAAGAACAATAAAACTTGAAACGGGAAAGAAAGAAAGAAGGAAAAGGGGAGAAAAGCACAAAGAGAGAAAAATAAAAGAAAAAATTGAAGTCTTAGAAATCCATTTTCTTCTCTTCCAGTAGGCGGAGCTGTGCCCTCCGAGCCGAGCTTCTGCCCTCTATGTGCTGACAGCAATCCCTGTAAGGCGGCTCCTGGGAGTCTCTCAATCCTGTTAGTTCAGAGCCGTTTCACTTCTCCGGCCCCTCCCACCTTCCACCTGCCAGCCAGTCATCCAGGTCCTGTTCACCTGAGGTGGTTCCCCAAGGATCTGGTTACACTTGCAGCCCCACCACGTGTCCTATTTCCCGAACGACTGAGAACTCTCTCTGTCATTCATCTAAGCCTCAGTGCTGTGGTGCGGTGATCTGGGAACCAACAGTTTAATTTTTTCAGACCCCTTTGGTGGGCACGCCCCCGGAAACTGGCGGGTAAGACCTTGGGTGTCACCGCTGGTGGTAAGGGGAGTTGGGGAACGGGAATCCCCTCTGCTTCCCTACAGACACGCCCCCGGAGAGATTCCCGAGGTTTCCTGGCTGCTTGTATCTGGAGGGGGTGGGAGTCATACACCTGCTAAAGTGGATTCCGCTGGGAAGGAATTCCGTTGGCCGAACTCCGGTGACCTCACCTCTCTGCTATGGCGGGCCCCAGGCTCCTTGCCGGAGTGTCAGAAGGGAGGGGTGGGACTGGTCTGTCTCTGGTTGGTTTCAGTTCACGGTTCGCTATTTCATGAAGGCTTGGCTAGAGACCTCTTCCTAGAGTCCCTGCGCCGCTCCTGCTGAGCTGCGCCTGGGGGGTTGCCGCCCAGTCACAGGGGCCTCGGGCGGGTGGCCGAGGGTCGCCGAGTCGCGCGGGCAGCGGCTGGCGGGTCTGGACCTCTGCGCCGCGTGGCAGAGATTCACTTATCTGGGGCAAACTGTCACCTCCAAAAATCCTACTAATTCCCGGCCGGTTTCTCTTCAGTGGAATTTTGCTAGGAGTTTCTCAGCAGGTAGAATCTAAGCGTATCAATGCGTCTCTCTGACCCCGTTATTGAGGAGGTATTGAAAGCGCTGCCTCCCCGCCCGCCGCCATGTTGGATCCCTACCCTACTTTTTTTAAAAAAAAACAAATTTAAAGAATTTAGGCTAAGACATTCAATGTATATACATTTAAGAAGAAATTTGAGACATACTTGTAGTTACAAGTGTTCTAATTCAAGTCTATCAAAATGAAATAAGACAGTAAAAAATCAAATCCAGTCTTATAAAGGACAACAACACAAAAACCAAGAGTTTCATATAGAACACAGATTAGCTGATATTTCCTTAGGTATTTTTGACCAATACTCCCAGTAGTTCTGAGTTCACAGTCTAATTTATGAGAATAAAGAAGATTGTTAAGCTTTTTCTTTGCTCCCATTTGCCCACAAGTCCCTACGAATTCCTCCAAGAAACTATCACTAGGAACCATTTTTATGGGGGTGGGAAGGAGAGGGAGCAGGTGGAGGTTGTTGATTTTGCTTACCTGCTATTGTGAACTTCAAGACACTCTGATAGGTGGCTTTTAGACAGTTCACCAACAGTGCCAGAGATAGAGGTCAAAGATGGTCAAATGTTTCTAACTTTGATTAGTATGTTTGTAGCATGGGTCTATCAAATTAAGGACCCTCTTTTCTTATTTTCTCTTTTTAGTAGAAGTTTCTCTAAAACAAATTTATTTTTGAAATCTGTTGCATATTTTTTCATGACCTAGAACATCTACATTTGTCACTATATGAAGATCGATTTGCTGCATTAAGTATAGTTAAATAAAAAAAGCAAAGGAAGCTTTCTTCCCCCTTTTTAATTTCCCTTTTTGTCAGAGAAAGATCAATTTGATGAGCCAGGTTGTGCAGAGCAATTTGTGCTTTGGGAAACTTTGTTATTGAAGCTACTACAAGTATCTGTAGCAGTTATACACATACATCTGAAAAATAATGCAATAATTTTGCTTACCTTCTAGTGTGAACTCTAAGACACTCTGAGACGTGGCTTTTAGTCAGTTCACCAGCAGTGTCAGAGACAGAGGTCAAAGATGGCCAGATGATTTTAAGTTTGATTAGTATGTTTGTAGCAATTTATTTAATTACTTCAAACATGATTTATCTAATTACTTCCCTATTACTCATTTCCCAAGTCATGTGTATGCCATTGTGATGTTCTGCTTTGTTGGGTTTTATATTCATGAGTAGTGGATTTTTGAAACAAGGAGGACTGAGACTAATAAAATAATCTTGAAAATGACTTTAAAAAGAGCCCTTAATTTGGATTGCAAATTTGTTAATGTTTTTACAAAATAGTGAACTTAAGAATTTAAATTTTTTAAATATGTTGCTAATGGATTATTAGATTGACTTAAGAATTATCTGGGTTGCTTTATCTTATTAAAGAATATGTTGTTGCAGAAATGTACCTATTTTCATACAGGTTCAGTTCTAGAGGGCATATCAGCTATCCTTTTAAACTTCAAGTATGTGTTTCATCACAGAAAACACTATTTACACTCATTCATTTTGACTTACTATTACAGAGTTAACTCACTAGAAGTCTGACAGGCAAGGTTTTCTTTTCTTTTCTTTTTAAGTTAGCTGCTTTATGGGGAATATTCTATAGGCCATTGATAGTCCTTTTACTAGGATGCTTTTCATAGTATCCAGACAAATCATGTAGAAGTACTTAACATTTTTGGAACTTTATATTTTCTTTATACAAGGTGCAAAAGTAAACTCCTACTGAGCTTTTCAAAATGCTTTGCTGATTTGCTGATTCTGAGGAAGCAAAGTGAATAAACAAGATACTGTTATCTTGTTTATTAATGTTGGCTAGATTAGGGGAAATTAAAGAGAAGGACTCCATAGTATCCTGGAGATTTCTGTCCAAGAGCCTAACAAAATGACAATTGAATTTATTCCTGCTGTTATAAATGTAGTATGTTCAAATTAAGAAATTTGAAGAATGTAGAAACAGTAAAAAGAAGAGGAAAATACAGTATCATCAGGCAGAGGTAATCATTACTAACATCTTATATATTTTGTATGTACATTCTTTAAAGAATTTGGTTTAGGTGTATTTTATAGTCGTAAACAAACTACATGTTTATATTTCATATAGTGTTAGATTTTTATTAAGTTATCACTCAAACATGTTTCTAAGTCCTTACAAATGCTTCATAACCATTCATTTTAATCTGTCTACTATGGCTACGCCATGATTTATCTAATTACTTCCCTATTATTAGATATTTAGATCATTTTCTAATTTATACTACTATAGATATGAAGTATTTTAATAGAGATTTTTGTTGAAATATAATACAGTTTATGTACTTATACATAAGTGTAAAGCATTTTGAAATTTTCACCAGTCAACATGACACTGAAACTGTCTGTATCAGTGAATTATCTCTTAACTGAACACACCCATGTTACCTTTACTAAATCAAGAGATAGAACTTTACCAAGTCCGCTAAATGCACTCCCGCATTGTGCCCTGCAATCATCATTCCCTTCCTCTTGCTCCAAGGTAACTAACTACTAACTTGACTCATAATATATCAATTTTGCTTTGAATGTCTTTAGTTTAAATAATTTCCTTTAAAATTTCCAGAAGTAGAGTATGAATATTTAAAAAATATTAGTTAATATAATCAATAATTTTTATAAAAATATCAAATCATTTTTCCACCATATTATATACATAATGCAAAGGATTATTTTTTTCTGCATGTGGGAAGGAAGAAAGATCAGCTCAATGTTAAAGAGACAACATTCTGGACAGGGAATAAGACCAAATGAGACCATGTTGCTTTGGAGAAATCTCAGCAGTCTGCTTCCAACTTCTGTTACCCAGCTAGAAAATGCTTCTCTTTTTCTGGACATAGCTAATCATGGCACATTTAAAAAGATGAGCATGGTAAGCTATACTGGTTCTTAATGCTTCTGGACACAAATAACATATGAACATCTACCCACATTCATGGCCAAAGAAAAGCACATGAGTTCAGTAGGTCATAGAGTCCATATATCCTCATACAAGGAGAGATATTATAGGAAGAGAAACGGAAATATTTGGCAAACAATCATACTATCCACTATATCTTTCATTGATGAAGTTAGATTGTTTAGATTATTCATCTTTTTATAATAAGATTTTTCATCTTATTATTGAAATACTTCCTGGTCTTGGGGAACCTGCATTTCTACATAGGGCTATACCTTCTGTAATCATTAATTGGGTGGTTACATACTGTTGAACTTTTGAGGGTTGAACTTTTGGGCGCACAAACAACTCTTCCAAGAAGAGGCCCAGAAACATATGTTCATTAAGAAGTAATGGGGAAATTCTATGTTTATTAAGCACTTCAGGTTAAAAAAAAAATCTTCATTAGGAAACAAGGTTTTTCTTTTTTTTTTTTTTTCTTTTTTAGTAGCTGAAAGCTTATATGTTCTCCTTATGTGTGCAAGCAAATGTTCAGTAAATGGTTTCCTAGTTCATAGGCAATGACACTTGCAGGACAGTGGGGGTCTTCTCCCTGGCACAGCAAAAGAGCTGGCTTGGTGCTTTCAGCTTTCACAAGACATTTGCTTCAGGTTATCAGGGTTGACTTTTGGTTATGGTTAACACCCTTTCCTATCATAAATTTGTGTTCTTCTTTATTGCATTCTTCTTGATTTTTTCTGTAGCAGATATTTTGTGGTGTTGAGAACATTAAGTGTTGTTAATTTCATGTTCTCTTTGTCTTTATTAAAACATGAATACCTTCTATCAGGACCCTCTGCTGCTCAGTTAGACAGTCTCACAGTCATGAGGGTAGTGTGCTTGTACTAGGTAAAATATAATACAGTTTATGTACTTATACATTGATTTAATATGATCTCTCTCTTTCATTTCCCAAAGGTCTCTTCTCTCTAGGGATGGTGAAGTTGGGAAAAGGTTCCTTTAACCCTTCTCCGGGATGAACCACCTGCCAGACATGGAGAATACACTCACTGGGAGCCAGAGCTCCCATGCTTCTCTGCGCGAGGTCCACTCCATCAACCCCACACAACTCATGGCCAGGATTGAGTCCTATGAAGGAAGGGAAAAGAAAGGCATATCCGATGTCAGGAGGACTTTCTGTTTGTTTGTCACCTTTGACCTCTTATTTGTAACATTACTATGGATAATAGAGTTAAATGTAAGTTGATTTTTTTTCATGACTTTTATAAGAAATGAGTCCAGAAACAAAAATATATTCTTCAAATAAACTTTTTATGTATCATTTAGTGAATTTCATCTTTTTCCAGATGATGCAGCATTGTTTGAAACAAATGAGTAAATTTAAAGCTCACTTTGGCTTTTTGAAATTTGAATTCCTAGTGTTTTGCTCAATAATAAGAGTTGACAAACTTTAGGATGTGGGATAAATTCAGTTGGCATGTCTTAGCAAAGTTTTGTTGGAACACAGCTATGCCCATTTGTTTATATATGCCTATGGTTTCACTTTGTGTGTAAGTAGTTGGGTTAAGTAGTTAAGCCAGAGACCTTCTGGCCTAAGAGGCAAAAATAATTATTTCCTAGACCTTTTCAGAATGAATTCACCAACTTCTCAAAAATACACAAAATGTTTCTGAAATGTTTTAGCTATTACATCTACTTTTCTAGCGCCATTGCTGCAGATTTTGTGTATTTTTTTTCAGAGATCACTTTTTCATATTATATCAAGTAAGTTTTCTTAGAGGCATTTGGACATATGCAATTATATTACCAAATAATTGCCTCCGTCAGTGTTGCCTGTTACAAATGTAATGCACAATTTAAAGCATATAATTTAAGATTCTATAGTTGTTACAGTAATAAAAGTTAAAATAAACAAGAGAAATTCATTATAAACATATTTTATTTAACCTGATATGCCTATTTTCTCCCAAAGCCCTGGTTCAGGTTGATTATATTTTTCCCCAACTAACAGTGGGTTCTTCCTGAAGGCTTCCCCCTCAGCAACACTCTTGCCTTCATCAACACAACTCATTGATTGCATTCATCAGCCACTCTTGCTTGCTTCCTTTTGCTCTCAGAATGTAACAGGCTCCTTTTTGTCTTGGGTCCTCTGTACTAGTAGTTTCCTCTGTATGAGGAATAAATAAATTCCTTTATTTAATAAATAAATTCCTTTATTCTTTTGTAGATTCTGATATCCTATCATTCTGAAGTCAGTTTAAATGTCACCATCATTCTGTCAGACTGTCCTGCTTCTGTTTTCTGTATAGTACTTATTTTCTTACTTGTCCTCTCTCCTGCCTTGCTAGGATGCATGCTAATGAAGACAGAGATATTGTTTTGTTTTCAGAAGTTTCTTTAATTAAAACAGTGAGTGTTTGGTACTCCATGGGTGCCCAGGAAATATTTAACAAATGGACAAAGATCATTGTGGTAGTGGTGTGTAGCTTGATTATATTAGTGGCATGTTAGCACTATAAGAACACTAACTCAGGAGCTGTTGAAAGAATGCCATTTGAGATTGTGTGAGTAGGAGGGAAGAGCTCACCTGAGAAGCAGAAGACTTGCTGACAGTCTGATTTTATCCTCCCTAGTAACCAAAGATGACTCTCAACTTTTTAATGATGGACTTAGAAATTGTCCCTGTGCCAAAATGCTTGGGACCAGAAGTTTCAGATTTTGTATTTAAAATTTCTCAGTATTTTCTTATATATAATGAGATATCTTGGGGTTGAGACAAATTCTAAACACAAAATTTATTCATATGTACTTTATATACATCCTGAAGGTAATTTTGTACTGTTTTTCGAGGGCCTGCATTTGGGATGAGAGATCAAATGTGGAATTTTCCACTTGTGGTGAGAATGCCAGTGCTCAAAATGTTTCACATTTTGTAGCATTTCAGATTTTATATCTTTGAATGAAGAATGGTCAGTTTGAACCAGAAAGAATTTGATTTGGTGTTCAACTATAGTCAGTCAATTTGACATACCTAGAGCTAGACAAAGATTGTGAAATAAGGATTTAGAGTGTAAGTTAAGGTTTTAGGTAATAAATCCTAAATATCTTATTGAAAAAAACACAAAGTTAGGGTCTTTTTTAAAGTGAGAAGATACCAGAGGAAAACTTTTTCTACTGGCAAAACCATGCTGACAGCTTTGATTCCTGCTGTCTTGGGAACAGAAGTGGAGTGAGGGGGTGGTCACAGTGGTAGAGAACCCTCTTTGCCATGGACTACTCAGAATAATTATTCTCTTAATATTCTGGATATTGGAATGTTTCCTTAGTTTGGAGAGACAAAGCAATGTAAATAGATGGTCGGTTGGTCTTTAGTGATTTTTCCTTGTGACCAGGCTTTCAGTTCTTTTTATTTATAGAAATTTATAGCCAAGGAGGTACAAAATCAATTTGTACTAATTTTAGAAACCTAAAACTCCTTCAGGTATTTTAAGGTACAGAATAGTATTTTTGGTTTGTTTTCACTTGGATAACAAATACAAATCCATGAAAAGGTAGTTAAGCTAAGACCACCCTTTCCTTGTGACATTTTAATTTGACAAATTAGGGAATCTTATAAAGGTATTCCTTGTTCTTTCCCTCTTATCCAATTGCCTGGTCAATTGCACTTTGTTTTGTCCTTTTTCAGTGCATCTCTATTTGTTTGCCAGGACTTTGTTCAGAATTAGAAGCTTGAAGTTAATGTTTCATATCACATTCCTTCTGACCAGGCTGGTCCATGAGCTGTCACCATTAAGAGAGTCTGTCTGGTACTCTGTCCATGGCCTGTCATATGTCCCTTTACTTGATTTTCTTAAAAGAAGAAAAAAAAATATATATATATATATATTTCTCCATAGTTTTATTTGTAAAATTTTAAATTCGATAATTTAAAATTCATTTTCATGGTAGAATTAGCGGGGGGACAGAAAGTTTATCTTGTTGGGTTTGATTTTCACCATTTATTGTAACTGTCACATGTTTCCAATTTTGTTATCCAAGTTATATATGTAAATTGATAAGAGTAGAGAATTTTATTTTTTATTGTTTTTTTTTTTTTTTTAGTTACACATGACACTAGAATCCACTTTGATATAATTGTATAAGCATGGAATATATCTTATTTTAAATATTTATTCTTTAGTTGTAGTTGGACACAACACCTTTATTTTGTTTATTTATTTTTATGTGGTGCTGAGAATCGAACCCAGGGCCCCGCACTTGCTAGGCGAGCACTCTACCGCTGAGCCAAAACCCCAGCCCCAATATATCTTATTTTAGTTAGGATCCCATTCTTGTGCGTGTACATCATGATGGGATTCACTGTGTCGTTCCCATATATGTACATGGGAAAATTATGTCAGATTCTTCACTGTCTTTCCTTTTCCTATCCCCCGGCTTCCCTCCATTTCCCTTTGTCTAATCTATTGAACTTCTGTTATTCCTCCCCCCATCCCCAACTTAATTGTGAGTTACCCTCCACATATCAGCAGAAACATTTGACCTTTAGTTTTGACTTGTTTCACTTAGCATAAAGAGTTTAGAATTTTAAAATGCCAGGAGCAAAATTAAAAGATGATAAAAATAAAGAGAATTTTTATACTTCTCTTATGTGTCTTGCTAATTGTCCTCATTTATGTTCGCTGTAAGATCATGGGAGCCTGAGCCTTCCAGAATCTAAAACTATTGGTCTTCAAGTGAAGAAGGCTTGAATAAATGTGCCTTCTTTAAAAGCGTGTATGTATATATATGCTTGAAGACTTTATTTTAAAAGAGAAAATATGATTTTTAATATTTTAGTATTTAAAATATGAATTGCAAAGTCATTGCTCCTTATTATACATTTATATCTTTTGCATGAATGAACTCTGAAGAAGTGGGAAGTGCTGTTCAGCCTTTTAAAATTATGAGGCTTCTTTTCTTCCAAACATTTCTGGGTTCAAGACTGGTAGGAAAGTATATAGGAAACCTCACTCTTGTTTCATTTTCTCAAGTAAATCCTTGTTTTTTGCTTTTTACTCTTTTTCCTAGGTGAACGGAGGCATTGAGAACACGTTAGAGAAGGAGGTGGTACAGTATGACTACTACTCATCTTATTTTGATATATTTGTGAGTATTTTCTTTTGTAACTCCTTACAAATAGAATGACAACAAAAGACAATTTTTCTTAAATAGGCCTAAAATTTGATGCCATTTTTTTCTACCTTGAATGTAAACTGTATTCCTTTTCCCTGAATTACTCACTAAGGAAGTGTCTAATCATTGCAAGGAAAGAAATAAAGAGAGGGCAGAAGGAATCATTCCCATGTTCTAGATGAGAGCACACAGCTCAAGTAGAACCTTTTGACATGTCCTAGCCACTGAAAGGCAAATTCACCTGCTTTCATGATAGCCTGATAAAAATGCTATTTCTTTTCTAGATTGCTCCTTTTTGTTAAGGAGAAATTAATCTGACACCTTACTTCGGTTACTTTACTTGAGGATCTGGGGTAGGCAGTCCCACATGCTGGTCTAGGAGTCAGTGCCCATTTGGGGCAATCTGCAATTGCACTAGAATGGTGTATTTAAAATATGTATTTTAAAATATATTTTATTATATGTATTTTAAATAACTTGTCTTCTTTACCTTTGTTTTTTGGTCCAGCTTTTGGCAGTTTTTCGATTTAAAGTGCTGATACTCGCATATGCTGTATGCAGACTGCGCCATTGGTGGGCAATAGCGGTGAGTGTGCCATGATGAGCTGGTCATCTCCTCTGGGGTTCTGACCAGGGCCTGTGCACAACAAGCCCGAGTTGGGAGAAGAGAAGGGGTTTTAACCAGACAGAATTTCACTAGCAAATTTCACTAATTCTTCGTGAGTCCCTTTCCTCCCTGGCTTTAGTAGACTTAATTCTCCAGGTCTTCTTTCTAATGTTTAAGAGTAATCAGGTTCATTTCTAAGATGCTGAGTCAAATGAGGACTCTGGAGGTCCAAGAATGATGATTGGCCAAACATCCATCTACCCTGTGTTTCATGTTGCCGAAGAGATAAAAACAGGATCCTCTGTCCCAGAAATATTTAGAAAATTCTTTTATTAAAACTGCCTAGATATTTAAAGATTTGATCTGTGTTTATTTTGATAATCAATTTCCCCCTCTTTTACCCACTTCCCCTATTCTGGAAGAAGAAGCTTCTATGCTCATTCCTGTTCCCCCTAGTTTCATGAGGATAGTGATATTTTTACTTATTTCTTTCCTAGCTTTTAGCACAAAGCTTGGACACATGGTACTCATCTTCAGTAAACATTAAGGGATTAAAAGAATTAGAAGCAATTCTGCCTGAATGTTTTTTTGCCATTTCCACAGATGTTCTGAATACATTGGGGGTAAGGGGCAAGAGAATGTTGAATCTTCCAAGCTGGAGAGAACTGCATAGGAATATCCCCAAACCCTGCTGTTTGAGGGCTCTGTCTTGTCCTGGTGGGAATAGGAGCTATGCTGCCTTCTGCAGACTAAGTACCAGGGCCATATCTGCCTGGGTCATTTCTTCTTAACATTCCCATCATCACATGATGGAGGTCAGAACCTACGTTAATCCAGAAGCTCTCATTTGAGGGATGTAGTGGACAGTCTAGGCAACTTGATTCCCAAATACTCTAGCTCATATCACACTACCTGTGATGATAGCATATTCCAATTTTCTTTAACAGCCCCATGGAAACATTCTATTCCAGAGTTTCCATGATGGAGAATACTGTGCCAGACCATTTGTCTTAGTATTTATTTTAGAAAAGTGATTGACGTTCAGACATGCAATGATAAAGCATCTTTAACAGATACTTTCAAATGATCTTTTAAGAATAGATCTGATTTAGCAAATCCATTTTACTGTTTCTGATTCATGTTTAAAACATTTACAGAGAGAGTCCTAGAAGGAGGAGAAGTCAGCTGGTACCTAAAGAGCACTTAGTGCCAGCCTGTAAAGTAAACCAGCATTAGGGCGTGAAATGTCTCCTCTCCCAAACAGCTCACTCTGGGGTATGTGTATGTGTGTGTGCATGCACGCGCCTGCAAGCAACTTGTTAACACTTACTAAGCAAGATCCTTGATATTCCCTGGCCTCCATTCTGTCATACTGCTATTAGCATTGACTGTGGTCAGGTTTCATCATGCTAAAAATATTAATTGGAAGTGAAAGTGACAAGGCTCCGGTATGGTAGAATTGCTCTGGGCTTCATAACCTCTATGGAAAGCCTTGTCTGTACATTTTCACAAATTTGTTGTATGTGACTGAATATTGTAACTTCTGATAGATAAAGTGTAGTTTTATAACACATCAGTCTGCTAAAACTTGGGAGAAGAAATACCATAAGCAGCCAGTTGGCAATTATGTGCCACATATATAGCCCATTTTGCCCTGGTCTGGGTGTAGGGGACCAATATAAAGTAATATGGGAAGGAATCAGGCCAAGAATAGGTGTTGCCTGCTCTTGGCTTAAATGGGTCTCTTATATGAGGGAGGTGCCTTCACAGTGAGAAATGTCTAATTTGAGCACTGCTTCATTGTGTCTTTCAGTTAACAACAGCAGTGACCAGTGCCTTTTTACTAGCAAAAGTGATCCTTTCAAAGGTATGGCCTCCCCCTTTTCCTGTACCATTGTCCTCTGCACTGATGAAGCCTCATTTCCCAGTGTGAGCTGATAGTGACTGCCCCCCTTCTCCTGGTCACACCTGTTCTTCCAGCTTTTCTCCCAAGGGGCGTTTGGCTATGTGTTGCCCATCATTTCATTCATCCTCGCCTGGATCGAGACATGGTTCCTGGATTTCAAAGTGTTACCTCAAGAAGCAGAAGAAGAAAACAGTAAGTTTCTGTGAAAGTCAGCCTCCAGAGACTACTAGTTCAGTACCAAGTAGCAAGGGAGAGATGTGGCTTCTGGGGGAGCCATGAGGGGGTAGAGTGAGTGAGTCAGTCACAGCATCTCTATTCTTCATTGGCTATACCAAAATGGAGAGAAGGGTTGGGTAGGTGAGTGGATGGCAACAGGAAGTGATTCTTCTTTCTGGCTGTCAGTCCAGGCTTCCCCAAGAGAAAATATGAACACTGGCTAAAAAGTCGTTCAAGAAACAGCTATTTTGCATATGGTTTCATTTTGGAAAATCTCATTAACAAAATCTCAAAAAAATTGGCACCACCTCATTCTTCTTGGGAGGTTGAACTTTTCTCATTGTTAATAATCATCATACAACACTAAACATTTTGTGCTTATAAATGGAACTATCCTGTTTAGGGGTAGAAATTTTTAAACAATTTCAAGTGAACAAATCAGCAATTTTCAACAAAGTCTGTGGTTCTCTAAAGTGTCATATTGATATGTATACAGTAGGTGTTGGCCTACTATGGGTTGGGTGTAATTAATACAATGAAGGCTTAGAGCTGGGACCATAATGATGCAGGTGAAGTTGAGAGGGGAAAAACTACAGTCCTACAGCCCGAGCAGTGCTCAGCCCTCTCACATGACAGCTAGCATGGTGTACTCCTGAGCCCTGCTGAAACTGTTATCTCATTGCTTGGTTTTCAGTGTGCCAGGATGTTGAGTAGGAAGGGCAGATGAACTGTTGAGCTGTACAGTTAATTATTGGGCTGGGATCTTTTTCACATGTTGCCTTAGTGGAGGCTCATGTGTCCTGCCTACCCCTCTCTGAGTTGAAATAGCCAAGATCAATTCAGACTCCCTTGCAGTTTCCAGATCTCCTACCTCGTTGCCCTTATCCATCATCTGGCTCAACATGCCATGCCTCATAGGGAAAAAAATCTTATATCTTACAGAATCTTAGTCATAATTATAGTTTCAAAAATGACAGGATGAACAATAACTTTGCACAGTTTGATTTTGGAAAATCTCTTCAGCAGGAAAAAAAATAACCTATAAGAAAAGAGTTATAGTTCAAGAGTAGATTTAAAAAATATATAAAAATGTGGTCCAAGATGTATTTTCTATCCTGTGCATTAGGGTGTGAAATGTCTCCTCTCCCAAACAGCTCACTCTGGGGTATGTGTATGAAAGCATAGTGTGGAGAAAGAATAGGTAAAGCTAAAGAATGTATGGAAGTTTATTTTAATTGTATATAAACATCATATTGAACTTAATTGAATCATGAACTTTTAATATGACTAAAGTTTAACTGAACCAATTCCACAGTGTCCAATAAAGCTGAACACAGAATTATTAGATTTTGAAAACAGCATTTGCTTCTATTATCAGTAGCAGAGAGGACACATGTACCTGGCATCTGCTGTCTGGGTGCTTCCTCCCACTGTCTCCTAACATTTGCTCAGTCCTCAGCCAAAGTAGTCAATTGTTGATGTTCTTCATCATGTGTTAGTGTTCTGGAGTTTCATTGTCTTCCCCTTGCTTTTTAATGCCCTTCTTTTGTTTGCAGATCTTTTTTGCATAGGTGTTTCTTAATCAACTTTACTTTTTTTTACATACTTATAAAAAGGCCAGCTAGATATTATGCTTGATACCTGGCATTTCTCTAAACACATGCAGATGGTGTACCATTTGTACAGGCTGACTGGGTTTTGATTTCACTTTGTGGTTGTTTTTGATTTTGTGGGAATACAGGGATTAATAAGGGAAAGATGCTCTAAATATTGAGTTGAAGGAGTGACATGAAACAGTTTTTTTGAACTACTTTATTTTCTATTTTTACAGTATTGGTTCGTAGTTTATTAATGAAAGCTTTATTTTTGTTGAAAGATTTTGAGAATATCTCTTTTTACCATTTATAATATTTAATGTTTTGCCAAGAACCTACCAGGAAGGTGATACATTCACAGATCTGAATTTCTTCTTTTCCAGGACTCCTGATAGTTCAGGATGCATCAGAGAGGGCAGCCCTCATACCTGCTGGTCTTTCTGATGGTCAGTTTTATTCCCCTCCTGAATCTGAAGCAGGTAAAAATTTGATTACCATTTTTGTTTTTATCTATCAATTAAAAGCTCTGCCCTCCAACCCTCTCACTACCCTCTCTGTTTCTCAATATAGTTGCCAAACATTTAGCACACCAGGATATGTAAGACATGACCTCACATGTTACCAGTGGTGAGATAAAGAGATCTAAAAATGAATGCCCTGGAGGGACACAAACACTGTGACTTGCTGTCTCCATCTCAGAAGACAAGTAGACAAGGGAAGGTTCTTGAACTCTTTTTCATTGCTTTTCATCCTTAAGTCAACCTTCCTGTGTAATTGCCTGTGGCCGTGAATGGCAGCTCTGTCCACCAGATATCCAAGTCAAAAACAGAGCCTTGAGCACTCCCTACTTTCTTCTGGCTGATATCTTCTTGTTCATAAGGATGTGTGATCCTCCTTTCTTTTTTTCTGCCTCCGTCATCTTATTTCTGTCATATCACTCCCTGGCAGCTCCAACCCCAGTTCAGCATTCCTTGCTTCAGCTTTCATCAAAACTTATGTCTCCATACCTCCCTCCCCCACCCCCCACTAACTAACTACCACTGTTCTCAAAACAGTGGCCATCAAAAACCAAAAAAACAACCTGACTAAATGTAGAAAGGCCTTAAACAGATATTTCCCTATGAAGGTAAACAGATGGCTAATAAGCACATGAAAAGTTGCTTAATACCACTAATCACTAGAAAAATGAAAATCAAAACCATAATGAGATACTATACCTTTTAGGATGACTGTTAATATATATTAGAAAAGAAGTATTGGTGTGGACATAAAGAAATTGGAACCCTTATGCACTGCATTTGAGAATGTAAAATGGTATATATAGTTTCTATAGGAGGCAAGATGATGTTTCCTCAAAAAATTGAACACAGAATTATCTCAACTGTTATACCTCTGGATCTATATCCAGAAGAAATGAAAGCAGGAACACAATTATATATTTGTCCTCCTATTTACAGAGTAGCATTATTCATTATTCATAGTAACCAAAGGTAGAAACAACTTGAACAGCCACCAGCAGATAAATGAATAAACAAAATATGATATATACATCCAATGAAATATTGCTCAGTCTTAAAAAGGAAAAAAAAATCTGACACATGCTCTAACATATATGAACCTTGAACATATTATCCTAAATAAAGTAAGTGAGGCACATAAGGACAACTAGCACATAAAGAATTTAATGAAGTACCTGGAGTAGTCAAGTTCACAGAAACAAAGAACAGTGGTTCCCAGGGACTAAGAACTTTGGAATGCATGGTAGTAATGGTTGCAAAACAAGGTAGATGTATTTAAAGCAAGGACTGGGTGCACTTACAAAGAGCTAAAATGTCAAATTTTATTTTAATTGTAGTTTGCCACAATTAAAAATATTTTCAAAGTTGCTAATACTCTATAGGTGCCTGGTGCTGTTCTCAGGTCTTTAGAACTGAAATTCACTCATTTTCTCCTCTTAACCATACTAATATATAAGACTTGATTATCTCCAACATGGAGATAAGAAAATTGAGGCACAGAGAATGGAAGCAGTTGCTCAGCATCATACAAATAAGGCTCCACTGCTAGGGTCCATGGTCATAACTGCTAAAGTCTGCAGCCTTTTGGTATTTGTGAAAATGTGGAATTGATCCTGTCAGTCGCCTGTCCAAAAGCCTTCAGTGGCATAAAGGACTCATAATTGAATAGTCTCGGAGTCTGGCAGAAAGCACCTCTGTTCCCACTCTTACTCAGTTGTCTAACTTCTTACCTCCTTTACTGCCTTCTTGTGTTTGTAGCTTTTCTGAAAATGCTGTGTTGCATCTTCTCTTGATATTCTCCATATCATGTCTCCACCACATATTCCAAAGACCTCTGCACACCGTTTTCTACCCATCCCATCACTCCTGGAAGTCTTGGTCAGGTGTCCTTTGCCTGGTCTTTGGGACCTCTGTTCTAGCCCTGTCATCTTCATCTGTGACCTGGTTTGTTTCTACCATGGGACGTAAGCTTGATTTAGAGTCTACTTATTATATGTCCAACTGTCTTCATCTGTGACCTGGTTTGTTTCTACCATGGGACGTAAGCTTGATTTAGAGTCTACTTATTATATGTCCAACATCCAACACGAGGAGTGTTTTACACATTATAATAAAACAGACTCCTGGCAGAAAGAGCTGTGTGAATGATGGTAGACTATTGGTATGGGATCTAAAAGTAGTATAAAATGCAAAACTATAAATCCACATGAGATACAGATGTGGATTAGCAGAGAATCTGTTTCTGAGACAATAGTAACTAAAATTAAGTATTAATGTTTTTACTACCAAATTGTAAGTGCTGTTTCTTTCTAATACTTTATGTCATAGGATTAATACTTTAAAAAAAAGAGGTGGGGCATTTCATAATGTATTTCATGCCATTCAACTTTTTCTAAGACTATTCCAACTTGTTAGCTAATTCTTTATCTAAGACTAATGTGGTTTCCCAGTTCTACTGTTTTTTTCTTAAAAACATGAGGAATTTCACCTCAGGCATTCCCTCCCCATCAAGCTTTGCACTGGTAGATCCCAGGGCTTCTGCCTGTGACATTTGCTACCACCTAGTGGTCCTCTGGGGCATTACTGTTTCACTGAATCATAAATCTGCACAAGAACCAAAACATTTTCATAGTATTCCACTAGGTGGCTACGTTGTTTAAGACAAAAGGCAGATTAGTAGTGGTGGGTGAAGAGAAGTGCCCCTAAGGCCTTGCTATATTGTTTTTGTTGTTGTTGTTGTTTGTTTGTTTGTTTGTTTTGCATTGCCTGTTCAATTCAGGAAAGAATTAGAAGTGAAAATTATTATTTGAGGTAATGTGCCTAAAGAAAGAACATTCTATTCTTATTACGCCAGTAGCTGAAAAATCAGTCTTTTAGTAGCTGATTTTTACTAGACATAGGAGCATCTGAAAGGTTTGGCTTCCTTTCTTGTCTTTTTTTTTTTTTTTTTAATCCAGCATCTAATGCAGTACCTGGCACATAGATTTAGAACTGTTGAAAGGTTAGATAAAAATAAGAGAGAAATTGAGGCATCACACATAAAAGTGTCAGCATTTTTCCTGTCACTGATCGACTTGAATTTTAGACCTGTAAATTAGGATACTAGCACATTTTAGTAGATGAACACTTAAGGGCTAGAAAAGTAATTTGTATGTAGGCTTGCTAACCATGTCCTAAAACCCGTGAATTAAATGGAAAGAACAAGGAAACAAAGTCCTCTTTGGATGACTAGAAGCTGTCATCTGTGGTCAGAGAGCTAGAATGAACCAAGCATGATGCTAAGGACAGAATAATTCACCTCTTGACCAATTTAAAATGTGGAGTAGCTCAATTACATGATGTCATCTGTTCTAAACAGGTTTAGATAAAGGCATTAAAATACCAGTTTAATGCCAACCAAGAATGACTATCCATTCTGAATTGCCTCGCCTTTCCTGTCTCCTTGTGTGATTATTAGAATCCCTTTCATTTCTCAGAAGTGTCCTTGTTCAGATGATCAGTCCCATGATTACATTATATATAGTGAACAGATTTGAAACACAGTTCTTTCCTACCTTTTAATTAAAATTTTGAAATTTTAAAATATTGAAAACTCATTGTGATGAATATCCAAAAACATTGATTTTTAAGAAACTCTATGGAGGTATAATTTTCATACTATAAAATCCATTGTTTGTGAATGTATAATTGCATGATTTTTAGCAAATGTATAGTTTTTTTTCATCAGCATCACAAGATAATTTTATAAAATTTTACCATTAGAAAAACTTATTTCATGTTCATTAACCCCTGCCTTTGTATCTCATTCTGAGTAACACAGATCTGCTTTCTGTCTTGACAGATTTATATTTTCGGGAAAGTTCATGTAACTGTGGTCATACTACATGTAGTTTTTGCATTCACCTTCTTTTGCTTAGTGTAAAGTTTTTGAGGACCAGTTATGTTGTAGAACATATCAGTAGTTCTTTTATGGCTGAATACTGTTCCATGGTGTACCTGTACAACATTTTTGCTTATTTTCCAGCTAATGGATGTCTAGGTTATTTCCAGTTTGGATCTGTTATGAGTAACTCAGCTATGAATATTCACATATATGTGCTTGTGGAGATATTTATTGTTATTTTTCTTGAATGGATTTCTAAGGATTTGCTGGGTCATATGATAAATTTAACTTTTTAAGAAATTGCTGAACTATTCTTACAAGGTTGCACTATTATACATTCTTTTCAGCAACATATATGGGTTTTAGTTTCTCCATATCATCACTAACATTTGGTATCATCTGTCTTTTTTATTGTAGCCAGTCTAACAGAGGTTAAGTAGTTCTCATGTGGTTAAGCTTAATGTCCCTAATGACAGAGATCTTTTCCATTATATATTAATCATGTATCTTCTTTGGAGAAATCTGTATTTCAAGATTTTTTGACTTGTTTTCTTACTAGCTGTCTCTACATTGTAGATAAAAGTCCTTTATCAAATATATATAATTTGCAAATGTTTGTCTAATGTTTATCTTTTCACATTTTCATGTGGTATTTTGAAGCACAAATTTTTAATGTTAATGGATACTATATTTGAGACCTCAAATATAGTGAAGATTTTTCTCTTGTGTTTCCGTCTAGAAGATTTTGTAGCGTTTCTTCTTTTAATTAAAGTTATGATACATTTTGAATTAATTTTCATATATTTAGGCACATTTGTCAAAAATATGTTGGTTATAAATGTGCCAAGTCAATTTTTTTTATTTCCTTGAATCTTCTTGGATTAAATGTAGCTTATTCTTCTCTTTCTACCTTTTAAAGTAGATTTTTTTGATTGACTTGAAAACTTTCTTTTCTTATATTGTCAATTAAAGCCATACATTTTTCCTATATACATTGCTTTATTGATATCTCATAAACTTTGACATACCATATGTTCATTTTCATGTATTCCTTGGTTTTCAGCAAGTTTAGAGTGATATTTTTGTGGATCCCTGTATATGTCCTAATTCTTGATCCTTTAGCTTATTAAATGTATAGATTATTAATTATGTCTCAAAAATGTAGGAAATTTTGGCCTTTATCTTTAAATATTTTCTAGAATTTTTTTTCTTTTTTCTTCTTCTGGAACTCCCCAATGCCCATATATTTGTATTCTTGATGTTATTTCATAGGTCTCTAAACTGTATTTAATTTTTCTTTAGTCTTTTGCTCTCTCTGTTTCAGAATGGATCATTTCTGCCAGCCCTATCTTCATGTATGCCAATTACTCTGCTGTCTTGAATATTTTCTTGACTCACAAATATATCATTGCACTTAATGTTTTTTTTTTCACTTCAGAGGTTTTATAAATAATAATGGGATTCATTACACCATATTTATACATGCAAGTGGCATAATTTGATCAATCTTATTCCCCTGTACCTTCTGTTTCCCTTGCCACTGCCCCTGAACCACTTGCTCTAATTCTTCTGTTTATTATTATTATTTCAATTAGTAAATTATAATTACACATAAAAGCTATATTCATTGTAGTATATTTGTACATAGACATAGCATAGTTTTATAGATGTTTTTTCCCCTCTACCTCCCCATTCCCTCTCCCCTCTCCCCGTCTAAATCCCCCTCCTCTACTTTGTTGGTCTACTTCTGTTAGTTATTTAAATTGATTCTCTGTTGTTCTTTGAACATATTTGTTAATATTGCTTTGATGTTTTTCTTGCTAAGTACAGTATTTAGAGACACTCAGAGATAGTTTGCTTTGGTGTTTTTGTATTTTTTAGAATGTTCATACTTGCCTAATTCTCTACATGTTTTATATTTTCTATTGAAAAATAACTTTTTGAAAATATATTGTAGCAACTCAGGATTCTCATTTTTCTCCCAAAAGGTTGTTGTTGCTATTTGTTCATTTGCTTAGTAAATTATTTGTGAAATTGTATTCCCTGGGGAATGTGGTTACATCTATCTTTTCTCAGTTTTTTTTTTAAATTTACTTCCTTTTTTTTTTTTTTCTTTAAGTTTTGGTTTGTTTTTAAAACCAAGCTTCCTATGGGTTCCCTGTGTCTACAGAGTACCTGGCTGGATTAAGTACCTGTCTCAAGTACCTGAATTAAGGCTTCCATCCTCTGCCAGAAGAAAATACCCATGGTTTGAGTGTCACTTTCAAAGTTCAGGCCATTTTCAGGTCTTGCATAGGTTTTTGTTTTTGCTGAGACTGTGTTCTCTGAGGATGCTCATAGTTCAAAGTATCTGGCTAGTTTGAGCTCTCTTGGGTTTCCCTTGTGCATGTGAAAAGACCCAACCAGGCATATGCTTGCTACAACCATGACCACAACCTGTGACTAGCAGAGCAGCTGCCCTGCCTGCTTCCTGGGATTTTCCAACCATATTGCTGGCCACTAGCATGGCTGTCACTCCAAACTAAGTGAGCTTCTCTCACCTGGATGGCTTTGCTGCCAGTCCCCAGAACCTCCATGCCATTGAGCTGGGTGTTGGGCACAGGAGGAGGAACAGGAGAAGCTCAGGAAGGAGCAGCACTATTGTTTCTGAATTCTGCTGTTTTCACACATAAACCAGTCTCCAGTTGTATATACCTTTGCTCATTTCCAGAGGGTGAAATGCTTTTAGTTTTGTCCATTTTTCCAACTTTTATAGGTGCTTCTCATATGGAAAGATTGTATTGAACCCCCTCACTAGGCCATAGCTAGAGGTTCTTTTAAAATATATAAAGAATATATGTAGTTACATTTTAATTAAGGATGGAGCTTTATTTAGGATTCCCAGGTAATACCACGACAGGACCACTCATTGTGGTTTACATACTTTTGGTGTGGCAGTTGGAAAATGAGCCTTGGACAGGAAGTTTTGATCTGATCCTCTTCCTGAGACTCCTTTCAACATGAGAAGGCAGTTAAACCACTCTGTGTCTCCATGATACACAGCGGTTTAATGGGCTGGAATGCAAAGCCTTTTAACCACTCCACCTTTATCTATTTCTTTTACCCCAGTTTCCACTTGAACTGTATGACATTTATGAGGTTGAGATATAAGACACAGTCACATTTGTTCTTTGGTATAATCCATGCAGATTTTCTCATAAGAAAAAAAATAATGTCCTCTTTACAGTGTACTCTCTTACAGATTAAAGCCCAGCCGAGGCAGGGCACCACCTTTATGTGTGAATAGATTGCATCCCTAACTTAATGAATTGGTTTTCCACACCTCATTTTTCTATTTCTTTTTTTCTGTTCATAAAAGAAATACATGCTTTTATACAGAGGTTGAAAACAACTACTAAAACTCACTGATCCTTCAAACAGCAGTATCACTACTCACAGTTTAACTTGTTTCTTTCTAGTTGTGTGTGTAGTTTCACATCTTTTTCTCACAATGCCTCTGTTATTTATACCCTGCTTTTAAAATTAGAATGTAAAATTTATTAAGTCCCTTTACATTTTATCACAGACATTTTGGAATATTCATTAAAATGTGCAAAGGTCATGTGGTTATCTTCTACTTGTTCTCATTTGTACATTTATATTTGCCTTTTTTAATTTTATCAAACGTAATTATATAGCATACAAAGTTTTATTTATTTATTTTTTCATATTTACATTTGCCTTAATGAACATGCTTTTTACATGTTGTCATAAACTATAAAGAACCATAATTTTACATGGATACAAGGTATTCCATGTAAATATAATTATTTAACCATTCTTACATTCTCAGGAAGTTAGGTTTGTTTTCTAGTTATTAGAGAAAAAAAATCCACATAATGAATAGTAAGTATTATTTCCCCAGGGATCAATCCTAAGGAAAGAGTTGCAGAGTGCAATGACTGCGTCAATTGTATGAGGCTCATGAGACATTGATTCTGACCAGGTAGCTAGTAATGATCACTCTCAGCAGCAGCAGCACCTCCCTCATCCTCAGGAGCCCACACTCTTCTCTCACTCACCTGATACAGTGATCAAATTTTTTGTACCAAAGCTCAGCATAGGGTGCAAACAGGTGGAAGAACAATGACAATCGATAACAATTCTTGGCATATAAGTATCTCAGTAGCACATAAGTGAAATCTGTTTTTGCCAATTTGATGCAAGTCATAAATTATATTTTCGTTTTCCTCCTGGAGGAAATATAGTAAAATTTGAAGAAAGCAGTTTGTTAACCTAAATCTCTCTAGAGTTCAACAAATGAGTCTTTCATTTAAGAATTTATATGTCTTCTTTTACAATAAAACTGTTTTTTGATGGAATGAGACAGTTTTTTCCTTCTGTACCATATAGGATCTGAAGAAGAGGCTGAGGAAAAACAGGACAGTGAAAAACCGCTTCTAGAACTCTGAGTTCTACTTTATAAAAAGTAAGTGTTTGAAAGTGAAACTTAAGAGCAGAGTGGTTAACAAAATGCATTTTCTTTGAGTAGATTCAGAGTAAACTTCAAGGAATGTGAGTACAAGTATATAGCCAGATTCATTATATTTACATGAAATCAGTAGTCACATTTCCTTATGTAAAATTTTTGAATGTTTTCTGCATGGGGTAAATTTGTAATGTGGGAAATACCTCAAAGTCCTGAATCTCCAAAGAAAAAGGAGAGATTCACATCTCCTTACTTAGCCAGAGTGTCTTTTTGTTTCAAACATTGTTTTAATTTCAAGCATTAACCTTTTTGTGTTCTAAGAAGAGCAACCCGTGATATGTAGGGACTGTTATTACCACTGTGTCACATGTGAGGGAACAGTGGGTGAGGAATTTCCCCAAAATTATATAGCTAGAAGGGGAGTGCCAAGCTCAGACCTGGGCAGTGGGATGTCTCTCAAAAGTTTTGGAACTTCTGAGATAAAAACTGCTGGAAATCGAAAGCTCTGAGGCAGAATGCATTGTTAAACCCTTTCAGCTCCTCAAAAAAAAAAAAAAAATCATTTCAGCCTCACAAATAGAAGGCCAATTAAATAGCAAGTGAGTTGTATCAGCACCTCCTCCTAAATATTTCACCACAAAAGGAAAAAGTAGTAGATGGAATACGAGTCCCTGTAAAGCCAGACAGAGGCAGTCTGGGCAACAGAGGCAGCCAGGTTCCTGGTGGAGGTGACCAGTGCTTGCATTGGTGGCACCTGGCACACAACAGACGCTTCTCTCCACACAGCAGGGTAGAGAGGAGGCAAATACTTGGATACCGGAATAGTTGAACATTTTCTAAAATGCTTTAAAATAACTTTAGGTATGGCCACACCCATGTCCTTTATATGCCTTTATCACAGTTTGTCTTCAGTATAGACCCTGTTAGGAAGATAAGAGGCAGTGTAGAATTTTGCCTCTTAACACCATACCTCAACCTGTTTGTCTTCACTCTTTTCCGAAGTGTGCAGAACCCTCACTGAAGTCATCCGAGGGAAGAAGATGGAGATGGGGTCTCCCTATTGATAGTTGAAATGGCGACATCCACTGCTGACTTTGTTGAACAGCTAGTAAACTTTTATTTATGGTGATACCTCACGGACATTTTCCCACATCCACACACATTCAGTCTCCTGCCTCTGGCTGGCCAGGTCATGTCATGATTATTTCTCTGTTCAGTGAGACTGAGTCTGACCTGTCAATGAATAATTGAAGGAAAGTTGTGTGTGTGCTATATCCTAATCAAAAGACTTCTTAATATGTTGAAATAACACTTTTCTAGTAAGTGAAATACCTTTTATTTCAATTCACTTGATGGAATTTTTTGTTTGTTTCATGTCTCAGATTTCTTTTGTATTTCATTTATTAACACCCTACATTTCCCTTGTGTTTTTTTTTAACTCATGCACATGTGCTCTTTGTACAATTTTTAAAAGTAATAAAATCCAGCATATCAAAATGATTAGTTGTATTTTCTTGGTTTACATTATGTCTTTACCCTAAAGTGTTGGGATAAAGAAAGAGAACAAGGAGGGATTGTGAATACATGTAAAACATCACCATATGTTGTATTATTTTATTATAAAATTATATCTTTCTCTGAGATATAATACTTAAGTGTCCATAAAAGGACTAAGAAACCATTGTTATCATTTTTCCTTTGTCTTTTATGCTAATTTGAATTAAAATGAACTAAATTATATCGTGAGTTATTTTTCAAACATGAATATTCCCCTAACTGCTTCACAGAGAGTTAGCATACCTGTTAGTTTTCCATCCTTCATGGTGCCATTCAAGAAAAACCAAATTGTATATAATGGTGATGATGTTGATTTAGGTGGAACCTTATGATTTGTGCAGCTCCAAGCCTCCCTGCTGTGGTGCTTGTTCTAAGTGTGGGTCACATCTCAGCAGTGTGAATAGGAGGCTGACTCAAAGGCTGGCATCTGACCACAAGGAGCTTCTTATGGTGGAGAAGAGCCAGGAAAGTCTCCAGGGTCTGTTCTAGAGACTGATACATAAGGAACTCAATAAAGTTATCTCAGTGTCAGTTTCCTTTCTCAGAAGTGGAGTTGCATATATACCAAACCCAGAGATAAGGCCCAAGCAGGACATCAGGTATTTAAATTTATCTTCAGGAAGAGTATTTCCCCAAATGAGATCATTTGAGGAAGTAGAGTGCTGGGCTGCCAATCATTTTAGGAAAATTATTCTCACTCATAATGTGGTTTGAGCATAGAACAAGAAGAATGATGGAATAATTGCAATATGGCATGAAGTCAGACTGAGAGCTTAAAGCAATTATCTCAGAAATAGTTATATTTCCCCCTGGGAGTGGACAGATGAAACTAGGTATCCTGGGGAGCCATTCTGGTAGGTAAGGGTATGGGTGGAAGCATTTTATTTCTATGCTCACATTGCTGAACAACACTCTTCTGTCTGACCTCAATCACCTTTTTATCTCAGGTTAATGTCCTCTGTTGAGCCTTGCTTAGGTTGACTCTGAAGTCATCCTGTCCTTGTAGATGGACTTCACATTGTCCAGCATATGACTTTCAGTTACACAGTAGAACTCCCGTGGTTCTGTATCTGAGTTCCTGAAGCACATTGCCACTGCCCACATCTTTGTGTACCTCTGCCAACGGCTTCATGTACACTGGTCTTGTGTCACTCTCTACACCAAGAAAGTAAACTGAAAGGTACCAACCAGCATCCATAAATCAAGTACCTGGGAAAAGCACAGACACTTGGTGGAATGTTGGGAGTTCCCTGGGGCTACACATGACCTCTTCTCCATTCTTCAGGACAGTGTCAGAATGGACAGAAGATGCAGTGTCTGAGAAATCCTGGCATCAGATTCCCAGTGCTCTGGGTAGATGAAGCACTTCCTTTGTCCCTAGATCACAGCAGGGAGAGCAGGTCCCATTTTAGTCTCACTATGTGAACTCAGATACCTCTTCCAACAAGCTGTAGACTTCTGAAACAGAGCAAAGTTGGTTGTGGTTTAACTGCCCTCAACTACTCTTCCAACACCTCAGCCACCTCTTGATACACAAACAAGTAGAGTCGGTTTGACTTTGAGCCTTTTCCCTGAATCAACCACATTTGACAGAGTATAGAAACAAAAGAAACCTGAGAAACTAAAAACAGCATCAGCCACACCAGCACCCATCCCCCACCCACTCTGTGTCCCCCACTACCAGAGCTCTCCCTTTCTGTACTGCTCAAATTCAGGGCTGCATGGGGGAGGAAAGGGTTTCAGGTTGGAAAACACAGAGGAGGCTGCTTAGTGCCCAGCCAGTTATGTCAGCCCACAAAGCTCTCAGTGATCTCAAAGATTCCTGCCTTTGTGTCTGCTTTCCCAGGGCAGGGAGGGTTCCCCATCTCTGAACAGGGGGAGGAGTATTTGGCTGAAGGAGTCATGGTCAAAGCAGGTACATCAAGGAATAGATCTTTTTGAGTCTGGTTACTCTTATTTTGTTTCATAATGGGAATCTCTGTTTATTTTCCAAAGAATGTGTCTCACAGAAAGTAAAGGTGATTGTAAATGAGCAAAACATTTCCAGTATTAAAAAATAAGACATTTTTTAAATTCAAACTTTTAAACTTTTCTAACTTTAAAAGGTTTCATTAATATAGAAAAATATACACTATTTTTAATCACCTACCATACATTTAATATTTGTATCATTTCCTACAGAAATGCAGACACACAGAGCAAACAAGTATCATATTTCTTAGTATTATTACTCAGTAGTAAAAATAATCAGAGGACCAGAACTTTGCAAAGTTACATAAATAGATGTTAAATGAAAAGATGTTTATCCTCACTCATAATGAGAAAGAAAACAGTAATTAAAACCTCAATGAGATTCTATTTTTCACCTGTCAGGTTAACAAAGTCCTGATGTTTGACAACATACTCACAAATTCATATACATGCAGATAGGCAAGCCATGTGGGGCTCTCTGGAGGGCAGGTTGGCAGTGCACACAATCAGATAGACATAAAACTGGTTATTCATAGTAGCAATAAATAAACCAAGGGCCTATAAGAGGAAACTGATGTTATGTAATTTATGTTCACCAGGGAAATACCTCTGGCTCTCTAAATATATATATACATAAAATGAGATCTCAAATTTATAAATGAAAAAGTGCAGAATAATATATACTATATGTAGGAAAGCATAATGGGAATATACACCCATATATATGTTTATATATATTCCTATTCACAGGAATTTAAAGTAACATATTTTGGGGTTTGCACCATGTGATTGTATTATATAATGATTTCAGTAAGTTTATCTTATTACAATATTATATTGTAATATCTAACATCCTGATTATTTTCCATTGCTTTTAAGGAATTTGCATTTGTGAAGACGTGTATTTGTCTTGTCATTTGACATCCTTGATTAATTTCTTATTGGACATATGTGTTAATTTTTGGCTAGGGTATGTAGTGCTATACATAAAATTATCCTTGCATATAATTTTAGCATATATATTTTGCTTCTTTTGATAACTGATGAATCAAATAGTGTAAACAATTTCCAGGTGAATCATGTTCCTTATATGGGTGCTGTGCTCTCTCTAGGATGATGACCATTTGTGGCTTGATCTGCGACAGCCATGTTGGAGTTCTGGAGTTGTTTTAAGTCACTTGCTGGTCTCAAACCAGGCTGTACTTTAGGATCACCGAACATTGTTTATAAGTTCCTATACCCGGCCTGTGATAAGCTGTATGTCTCAATGACTCTCAAGGGCTCCTAAGAAGACAGAGAGACCCGTAGGTAGAATGGACAGAGCAACAGATGTCCAGTAAGACTTGGAATCATGTGGACTCTGGGGCTTATTCAGTGTTCAACACGGGCATATTTAATACTGTGGCTTACTGGTTATCTCTGGGCATATTTAATTTTAGGGTTACAGTGTGATTAACCTGGGGCCTCTGAAATCTGGCTTGATGTAGTGAAATGGACATAATGTCTGTATGGTGGTGCAGTTGAGACATTGGAGAGAAGGTGGACCTCCCTGCAGAATTCTTGATGCTCACTACATGGTAGGTATTTCCTATTAATTCAAAGAAATCAAACAGCAAACATAGTCTAACAGAAGATAATGGAAATCATGCATTCAGTTATGTAAGTGTTCGTGGTTCATAAGAATGTTGAGTTTATAGCCTTTCAGGTGAATTATGTATCATCTTGCTTTTTATCAATTTATGTCTTAGTCCTCTAATTTTCTGGTTGGCAATTATATAGGACTTTGAGTAATAGAATGGAGAAATTCAGCTATTGTTAATTTGGCCCATTTGCCAGACAAAAAGACTTCAAACAATGAAGTCTATGAAGAAAATAATTCCAAATCATAGAAGAGAATACATAACAGGGGCCAGGTGCAGTGGCGCATGCCTGTGATCCCAGCAGCTCTGGAGGCTGATGCAGGATGACTGCAAGTTCAAAGCCAACCTCAGCAACTTAATGAGGTGCTAAGCAACTCAGTGAGGCCCTGTCTCTAAATAAAAAATACAAAAGGATTGGGAACGTGGCTCAGTGGTTAAGTGTCCCTGAGTTTATTCCTTGGTACAAAAAAAAAAAAAAAAAACCATAATAGGGGCAAGTCTTAAAGTTTTGAGAATTGTTGCCTGGAAAATTTCTCTTTTGTAAAATAATTAAGAACATATGAGGGGCTGGGGTTGTGACTCAGTGGTAGAGGGCTTGCCTAGCATGTGCAAGGCTCTGGGTTCAATCCTTGGCACCACATAAAAAAATAAATAAAGGTATTGTGTCCAACTACAACTAAAAAATAATTATTAAAAAAAGAACATATGAAGTTTTATTCATCATTTTTTTCTTATACTTGGGAAATGTATGGATTACTCTAGCCCTACAATGACTATTGAGACATGACTGTCTTCATTTGGAATTGTATAAACCTTTGCCTCAAGTTTTTTTTTCATCAAACACCTGTGGATGTAACCTGCTGTTCTAGTCTGTATTTCATCCAGCCATGTGCCATGGACTTGAATCATAGAAGGCCTATTGGTTAATGAGAGATCAGTGTGTAAAAGCCTTCTCAGCATGAAAAATTACGTGGCAGTTGGCTTCTAGCCCTTTAATAAAAATAATAGCACAGCATTCTGGAGAGGAAATACAGGAAGGTAATGAGGATACAGAATTTTCTAAAGGGTAACTTGAGGGCAGGGCTCCTGAAGCCAGGCTGCTTAGCTTCAAGTGCCAGCCTTTTTGATTATTCCCTCTATAGCTATGGGGAAGTTCCTCAGCCATTGCCACCTCAGTTACCCCTGTACATATCTCCTAGGCTGTTTGTGAGAATTAAATGAGGGGACATGTAGTTAATGTAGCACCTGGTACGTAGTAAGCATTATAAAGCAGTTGCTATTATTACTTCATTGAGATGTCAATCACTGAATTTGAAGCTGTAATCTTCAATTTTAATACATTCTTCTAAGGATGGATAAACGTAGTGTGAGAATAAACTATAATAATAATGTGCTATATATTTCACAGGGTAAAGAAAAATGATTTTCAATGTTTTTATGACTAAAAATGATACACGTACAAGGGGATAGATATGCTTATCCTTATTTGAACTTACACAATGTATACATGCATTAAACCATCACGTGTTTCCACAAATATGTACAAATTTTATGTGTCATTTTAAATAAAAGGAGCAAATGGTATAGCTAGTTAGAGTCATACTGAGCAGCCAGGGCTCTAACTGGCTATGAAATGTGATTTCTGGTCCAGGATTCCTTCCACCATGCCATGGGACTTCTCTATAAGGGGTAGTTGTGCTGTGGGGGAAAAGATTGGACCAAGAAGGTTGCATAACCTACCTCCTTCTTGGATTCCTTAGAATGTTCCTCAAGGTGATTGTGAGGACCTTAGGGCCCAGTAATTCTACTGAAGGAGCTAGGATATCACAATACTATCCATGTCCAGAGAGAACCGTTAAGGGTCCTCTTGTACATGAAGCTCAGCCTACTTCCCAACAAGAGGACACACACTCTCAAAAAGGAAGGCAGAGCTTCTTTCTATGGCTAGAGGACAAATTATCGTGATTACAGAGTAGGTCACAATTTTATCTAAAGAGGAAAGACAAATTGGAAATTAGTATGTATATGAAGAGAAAACAGATGTACTCACAAACCTTTAAGAAAATTCTCTGACTCATTGTAGGATGCCGTTAGTAAAGCAGGAATGCATGTGTTTGATTTTGTTTTGTTTCTCCAAATTGATAGTGGATAAAAGGAAGACATGATATTGGGGCAATTATACACACACACAAACTAGGTTCCACTGGACTTGACTTTAAATCAATACTATTACTTAAAAAACTAGTGACTTTATAGACTGTAGGCCATAATTGTGCCTACATTGAAGGACTCTTACAGGATTCATGGATTGGATTGCCTGGTGCACGGTAGTAGCTAAGTCCCTGCTCTATTCCACCCATCCTCTGCAGAAAATTGAGAACAGATCATCCTTGGTGCTTTGCTGGTATATAAATGCGTTATAAACTATTTCTGGAGTTCAGCACATACAAATGCTATGGATGACTTGCCTGAACCAAGCATTACTAACTCATGTAACCCATACAATTCTATAACACAGGGTTTTCTAACTTCATTTTATAGGAAGAAATTATGGCACATAGATTGCAAGTCTCTGAGGTCACCCAGACACTAAATTCCAGACCCAGGATTGAAACCCAAGCTATCTGGGTCCTTCATCCATATCCTCAACTCCTCTGTCTCACTGCCTCTTGTGGTTTAGTGCAGTATTTACATTGGTATTGTGAGGACCAGGAAACAGTGCTTGTGAAACCCTGGTACAGAGCTGGGCACACACAGTGCAAGTCTTGTTTTCCTATTTTCATGGGAATGTCTTAAACAAAATGAATGTCAATCTGTTACCTTTAAAAGAGCGGTAATATGACTCTCCATTTGGTTCTGACTCCTTTTGGAGCCAGTGCCCCTAGGAAAGCCCTAAAATTCCCATCTCAGGGATAGAAGTGAAAATTGGTGTTGGATCCTCGTTAATAACCATGGCTTGAAGTCAAGATTCAGTTGTCATGCTGCTTGTCACTTTGAACTTTCAATTTATTTCCATCAAATTAAAGTCCACATGGCCCAAAGTAGACTGTTGTGTTTATTATGAAAAATAAAGAACAGAATTCAAATAGCAAAGAAGGCAATTTCAGGATGTGTGGAATGGAAGGCTTTAAGGTGGTCTCTGGTTAAAGGGCACTAAGGGATGTGTCTAGAAGCTGTCCATTGGCCCCACGAAGGTTGAGATGATTGGGCTGGCTGGAGGGGCTGATAGGGACTAGAAACACAGGGACTAGGTGCCACTAAGTGCTACTCATTGTTACAGAGTGAAGATGCTCCATTTGCCCACTGGTTAGAGAAACCCTTACTGCAATAGTGACAGAATTATACAGGTGAGAACCCAAGGAGCTGTAACCCAGCAAGCAAACCTAGCCAGGTTCTCGGCAGACACTCTTCAGGACAATAAACCAAGAACACAACACAACTCCGTTGTGCCACCATTTGTTAGGTACTCTTCCCATTTCTACCGACAGCTGTTTTTCTTAGCAGACTGAAGGTGATGAAGGCCAAGTAGACCACACTCTTGAGGAGTAAGAGGAGGTAGGTCCAGTAGACAGAGGTGTTTGTGAGCTGCAGCTTTAGTGCATCTAAGAGAAGTCAGGTAATTAGTTTCACTTGTTCTTTTGACAAGATAGGACCCTTCATGGGGAAAGTTTCCACAGATGTTTATTTTTGGTGACCTACACTGAAGTGACACCACCCCCACCAAACCCCAAAGGTCAACATCTACCACTCCCACCCAAACCACCAAGAGCAAGGTTTAGCTTGTAAGTCAAGTTGATTACCAATATTTGCCTTACTTACTTAGAACCTTCCTAATATTTAAAAGTAAGAATCCATGTTTAATGGATGTGTCAATGGGGAACAAAAGTATGTGTGATAACTAGATTTTAGAATTTCTTTACCCCAACCTGTCTCTAAGTACAAATAATATATAATATTCATTAACCATTAATCGAATGACACAGAGTATGTTAAGAATTAATTTGCATGTAAAATTTTAGTCTTATTTAATCTGTATAGTAGCCTATACAAAATGGGAATAGAGTCTAGTCTGTGGTACTCCAAAGCCCATGAATCTTCCCACCCAAACATATATGTCCATGGTGTTTCAGAGTCTTGACTTTGGAATTTCTTGCTTTGTGACTCATTTATAGTTGTCTCATATGAAAACAAATTGTTTATTATGATAGTATAATGCCTAGGAAGTGATGGATTAAATAAATATCCACAGTCTTTTCTGCAATCCAGCCATTCTGATTTTTCTACCTTAAGTAAAGGAAGTTCAAAAGTTAGAATGATCAGGAGTGGGAGAAGCTATAGCATGAGATAAAGAAAAACACACACTAAAAATTAAGATTTTACCTTTTAAATAAGCTTCAGATTCAGTAGTATTGACAACTAGAAGAAATAAGAACAAGTAGAAGTCAATTATCATGTCCATTATTTGACTGTATGTACCTGGGTATGGGTAAACTTCAATGTCAACACTGGAGACAGTCAACCAAAAGTTAATATCTATGAGTGACCATTGCTGTGCCAAGCACTGTTAAATGTTCCACACTGTTTGCATCTCCAGTGACATAAGTGTGTTCAATCATGGACGGTAACCATTTTATGAATGAGGAATTAATTATAAATGGTGTAGCATCATCAGGTATCTTAATTATTCTTAGCATATAGCCTTTTCTCTCTCTTTTTTCCACTCTCTCTTTTTTTAACCATAGATTCAGCATTTCAGTGCAAGTCTTTCTAAAGACACAAGATAGGAATTTTTACATTCCTAATTCTCTGAATAAACCTAAGGCGAGAGCTGTATTTATCTATCATGACTCCTAGGAAATGATGGATTAATTAAAATGTCACTCCGTCTATTCTGACACATCTAATCATTCTGATTTCTCTAACTTACACGAGGGAAGTTCAAAAAGTAAGATGCTCAGGAGGAGGAATATTGTATAGCATGATACAAAGACAAACGTGCTAAAACCTACCACTTTCACATTTCAGATCAGCTTTTCTGGCATTAATAGTGGTGACAGCTAGAAGAAAAGAGAGCAAGATTGAGTCAAGTATTCTTGTCTATTATTTGAAAGTTTATGTATGTGTACACATACACGTATTTATATGCACGTAAATAAATATATACACACATCTCTGGAAGCATAGAAGACATAATCATTAAAACTGAGTCCCACAGTTCCAAAAATAGTCTGATTCCAGATAATTGAGCAGCTATCATATAATATTTTTCCACACACACAGATATTGAAATTCATGAAAGATTTTTTTTCCTTTTTTTATCATAACTGGATTATAATATCCAAGACTGATCTTCCTCCTTACTCAAAGCTCCTCACAAGTAGGCACAAATATGTCAGTGGGAAAATAAAAGAATTAGCTGCTTTTCAGGTTTCTGCTCACACTCCTAATACGATGTTACACTAAAATGAATCTGTCCAATCTTAGAGTCAATGACAGAATCATGCACTTTTGAAGGAGTCTCAATTAGAGAAATTTCCTCTGCTTAGTACTTTTCCAAATCATGCATATCCCCAATATTCCTGGTTCACGCACACGATTTCCTGAAGGTTTGGTGTTTGTAGGCATGACGATATCAATATTAATTAAAGTTCATATACATTGAGTGATCCCTGTTTGGTTGGCACTGTGTTAAATGCTTCACATGAATTATCTTGTTTAAATCCTCAGTCACACTTAAGTGAGTTGTATTGTGGCAGGGGCGGTTACTGCAGATTGAACTCAGGGTTGCTTTATCACTGAGCTCTATCCCTAGTCCTTCTAAAATTTTATTCTAAGTCAGGGTTTCACTAAGTTGTTGAAGTTGGTCTTGATTTTCAATCATCTTGCCTCAGCCTTACGAGTCACTAGGATTGCAAGCACACACTACTACACATGGCTGAGTTGCATTATTGATAGTCTCATGTCATGAATGAGGAAATAAAATTTGAAGGGTTTACATAACTAACCAAGAGTCCTATCAGTGAATTGCTGGGTAAATATCTGAAGATATCGAGGGGAATTTTTTTTTTTAAAAAATGTGGAAATTACTTTGCATATAAATACAGAGAAAATAATTTATACAGAAACAAACAATTCCACCACTCTGGACACTAAGAAAATCCCCTAGAATCTTGAGTATTCTTAGAAAATGCCTTTAAAAAAAATAGGTGCTGAGCATTTCAGTGCCATTCTCTCTGGAGATAGAAATATAGGCCCAATCACATTTTTAGTTCTCAGAATAAAACTCAGAGTAACAGTTGTATTTACCCACAGCTAGGAAACAAAACTAGAGTAATCTGCTATCACTCTTTCCCCAGTCATTACACATAGTAGACAAATGAATGAATGAAGTCCCTTTGTTGAAATGCTTCAGAGCCTATGGCTGTATCCTCTTATTTACAGTCATCTCATACCAGCGTCTGTAGTTTACTGTGTTGATATGATGCCAAGGAAACAAAGGACAACTTAAAGTGACACTCAGTCCATTTTGGAACAACCAGATATTCTGATTTCTCTGTCATAAGTGATGAAGTTCAGAAGTTAAGATGATCAGAGGAGGGAAAATGATATCGAATGAGGTGAAGGCAAACACACACTAAAACTCACCATTTGTAACTTTCAAATCGGCTTCTCTGGGATTCATAGTGGTGACAACTAAAAGCAATAAGAACAAATATCACTCAATTATTCATGCCCATTATTTTAAAGCATGTGAGTGTGTGTGTATATAGACAATGGTTGTTTTGGTTGGTTCTTTTTCTACTAGACATGTTCTTGTCTATATGAATATACTTAACACTCTGCAATATTATTGAACATTGACTTATTTTTTGTGTGTATTTTTAAAATGGAGTTGAGGTATAGGTCTTAGGGGTAAGTCTCTAGAAATAAAATATCAGTATGGTTATATTTGAATTGAAAATACCATTAAAAACTGACTGTAATGGATATAAACAGTGTATCTCTTAGGGGCTGCGGTTGTGACTCAGTGGTAGAGTGCTTATCTAGCATGTGTGAGGCACTTGGTTTAATCCTCACCACCATATAAAAATAACTAATAGAATAAAGGTATTGTGTCCATCTACAACAAAAAAATTGTTTTTGAAAAAAGTGTATCTCTTTCCTTGTGATATATTCACTAAAAGATAAATGAAAATCATTTTTACCATGAATCATTTGAGGTAAATAGAAGAAAGTACAGTTCCTAAGTAATAAAGTCTATGTGCTCTTTAAGTTCTCTCAAAGCTTATTGTAAACATGAAAATACCATTTTATCTCCCTTCAAAATAGTCACTTCATTAATTCATTTCCATGTGCTATTTTTCAGCTTTTACCAAACCAAACCAAACCAAACCAAAATAAAAAAGAACCTTCAAAAAGCAGCATTGGAAAAGATGACATTGACAAAAGCTCTCTCCTCAGCTCTGGAGCCAGAGAAGCCCATGAGAAACATTTGTTTTAGAAATCAGTGCCTAGTAAATTATTATTAAACTGGAACCTCTCTCCTACACGAGATTCATCACCATGTAACTTAATATTCTTTTTAATTTTCTCTGATCAATAGAACAATCTGAACCTAATTGGACACTTATGCACAGTGGTTAAGTTAACCTTGTGTTTGCATATTTGCCTCCCCTCTGTTTCTCAGCATGGAAAACAGAAAATTGGGGTTGGTTTTGTATTCTTGTTTAGTTGATTTTAGGAAAGGATGTAAGTACAATAAATATAGAAATATCTGAATCCATGCTCTATTTTTTTAAGAAAACATTTTTTTTTTTCCTAACAGCATTTCATTTGATCTTTGTCATAGCTCCAGGGAAAACCAGGCAACTGTTCAGACTTCAGTAGTGATTGCATAAAGTTAGGGTCCCAGCGACTGAAGGTTTACTTGGGAAACCGGGATGGACTATGGCAAAGCTCTTCACCCTGTTTGCCACGTGCCAGTTTCTCGCTGGCACAATAGGGGCTCGGAGCCACAGGGAAAATTACAAAGAGATTGCTTCCCATGCCCACTAGGCCTTTTGGACTGCTGTTTAACACTCAGGACTGTGAATATGTAGTGAGTCACTGGACCACTGCAAGGCCTCTGCACATTCAGGCTTCTGCCTATCTTTGTTGAATATGTACCTCAATGCACCCAAAGGATTCCTTTGGGACATCGTGCCTGAGTCCTATGTGGTCCTAAGTGACAGGGAAAAATGATTCTCTCTTGACTGCAATACATCCTACTGGCAGTACTAATTCTAGAATATTCATCCACATTCCAACTCAGGCCTGGCATATGTGAATAGAACAGGAAATGTTTATGTAGCTACATTTACCAATGGAAGGAGAAATTTGTCATGGAAAAATGGAGTATCTTCATACACGTTAGGCTCATTGAAGCATAAATTATGAAATTCTTTCTAACAGTGATATATAAAATAAAAATAAGAAATACTTAAAGCTAACATAGAACTTCAGTGGCTAAGATTATTCCAAATCTTTTGGTGGTGTTGGGCCATGCTCCTGCTCTTTTGTCTGAGCATAATTTTTTCAATTAAGAACTCATTGTAAGTTAACCTGTGCATAGCAAGATTGAAGTAGGCAACTTTACTTGCTTCATAGAACATTTCTGAAATATACATAATTGTTTTGATTTCTAAATCAGGTAAAATCATCAAAAGTAGAAACTTCTTTTTAATATTTTACAAGTATTGAGTTGCTAGATACTTTCATTGTCTTATTTCATATAGTCCACATAAAAATTATAAAACACATCCTATAGTTTTAATACTATAAATATTGAACTGAGGCTGAGAAAGCTGAAGTAAATTTTTCAGAGTTTTCTCCAAATTATGTACCATTTCATTTCTATGGGGAAAATCACAGGATATATATTCTGCCATTAAACGTTATTATATTTAAGAAAGATTTAGACTTGATTTCATTAATGCTTGGAAGGAAAGATGTGGTATTCCCTTTCAAATTTTTTTCTGGAAATTTATGTTTACATTTAAATGCACATACCTTTCCTTATTGCATGAAAGAGAATCTCTTGATCAACTCCTCTTTTATTATTCTCGTGTTTGACAATACACTTGTGCTCTTTATCCATTGACTCTCCAGTCACGGTTAGCCAGCTCATCTTCATGTATGTGTCCTTAGTCTTCATGGTATTTCCCTGATGGGATTCCAGAATCCTATAACCTCCATTTTCTTTCCAATATACCTTAATAACATCAGGGAAAAAGTTCTCCAGAAGACAAAGATATGTCCCAGCATTATGGAGATTTGTTTCAGCAACTGAAGGAAGAAAAATCGTGGGCTTGGGGTAAATGTCTGCATTAAAGATTTTATCTGTGGAGGAAATGGAAAACAGATTTTAAAAGGTAATTAGAGAGTTACAAACATTGCTTGATTTGGAATAACCTAACATATATCAATAGGAAGACAAGTTGCCATTGAATTAGTGTCCACCATGGCCTTTTATTCCCCATAGGTTGCAGGGAGCTTACCGTAGACCTTATTTTACAGATGTGCAAAAAGGTTCAAGAAGTTAAGTAACTAGCCCAAAGACACAGCTATGAAGTGGAAGATCTAGAAGGAAGCTTGACTTTTGTTCTTTTTTCCACATGCTAAGAGAGGTGTGACTTTTAATTGTTCCTGAAGGAGGCTTCCAACATTCTTGAACCCATTAACTTTTTGTTTACATCTCCTTAGTTTTCTCCTAGTAGAGTATGTGTTGTCAAGATGAATGAAGAGGAGCAGAAGACAACCAGACCTTTTTAATGATCTTTCTAGATGAGGCTCTGTGGTCCCTTCTAAAGTACTTCCCTTGTCCAACCTTTGTCACTTCTGCTCTCTGGACATGTAATTCACTGTCTCATGCTCTGCAACTCTGCAAACTAGTCTTCATTTAGCTAATTCTAGAATGCAGCCTATTTATCTTATTTCTCATAAAAATAAATGCCAGGAGGCAGCTTTTCATTTTTCTTTGTAACAACACGCTGTTACTTGTTTCAATAGGCCTCTACTTCCATGTGTACCTGTAATCTGTCAGGTTGGTCTCTTGGCTTCAAATGCAGATGCATACCTACTTGTGAAGCTCCTGAAGTTTCTAACTTTATTTAACATTTTGCTTTAACATCTGTCCTACTATAGGATTTTGGGTTGGGCAGTATTTAAAGCCACACCTCCAAATTATTCAGTGTTTTGAATTTAGACAGAAAATATCAACATTTCCTCAGCAAACTGTTTAAAATTTGTATTGATTATTTTCAGAAATGTTCTTGTATTAATTTTACCAAACAATGTGCTTATCAATAGAAAATGTTCATCAAAAACATTTTATTTGGGAATATCATTTGAAGTTCAAGTGTCACTAAGATACACCAAGGGTGTATTTTTTGTACTTATTTCATTAGGGTGAGGGAATATACCTATCAGTATATTTGTGTTTGACTCTCACAAAATTTGCATTAGCGCAGTCTCCTACATCTCTCCTTTGGAATTCAATCTGTCTCTTCATCTTAACCTACTAAATAAAACGTATATGTAGTTGATGTAATGTTAAAAGTTATAGTTCCAAGAGTTTCTTGCAGACATAATGTAAAAATATACAACAAATTGTGATTTATTTACAACCCCATACCTTGCGTATCTTGAATGTTAACTGGTTTTACATTTATTTTTAACACAATTCATTGTTATAAATGATGGAATTATTTCAATTTGATTGCAAGTTGAAACTCAGATGCCTTACAAATATTCTCTTAGGACTAATTTGAATTTAGTATAATAATTCAACAGGTGATTTATTAAGGAAAAAAATCAGATTTCACGCTTGAGAAGAAAAGAACAAAAGTTTTTGATGATTTCTGTCTGGGTAGTAGCAAAGTTCCTAACTTGTATACAAAATCAGTAAGCATATAATGTTAATATTCCTGACGTGTTATAAATGTATTAGGGGCATAATGTGTTTATTTTAATTTTTTGCATCTTTCTTTTAGTGTAAATAGTAAGCATACTGCATATTTATCCAACTGTATACTTTATTTGTAGTTTCAAAGGTATGTTATAAAAGGTGATTAATTTTTCAATTGTAAATTTTGTAATTTTAGTAAAATAATGTATTAATAAATCTAATTTTCATCTTAGAAGCTGTGTTTCTTGATGGAATGTTTCTGATTCATTATAATAAAGCAATTAAAAATCAAATGATGAATTGGAAAAATTCCTGTACAATACCCCATCTGTATTACCTGTTGTATCTTTTCCTTAGGTAGTTTAAGTTTCATACTTTTGAGTACAGAATGTGTCTTGAACTGCCTCAAGGTAATAATGAACTAAGTATTACAAAGTATACTTGATTATATAGAGTTAGAACTTATATTCTGAATGCTACATGGTTTTGAAAGCATTACTTTAAAAATTATATATTAAGATTTTTTTGGAGTATGGGTACCAGGGATTGAACTTGGGGGCACTCAAGCAGTGAGCCATATCCACAGCCCAATTTTTTGTGTTTTATTTAGAGACAGGGTTTTACTAAGTTGCTTAGCACCACACTTTTGCTGAGGCTGGCTTTGAACTAATGAGCCTCCTGTCTCAGCTTTCCAAGCCAGTGAGATTATAGATGTATACCACTGCCCCCCGGCAAGATATTTATCATGATCAAAATTTTTATAATATGGCAAATTGTAGCCACTCTGTTTTATTTGAGTAATAAATAAAATGGCTATCAATACATCTTATTTAAATAAATAAATGAAGCTGTTTGATTAATTTATGTATGTTCATTTGCCTCATAAAGGAGTGCATTTTGAATTAAATACCTAAGCTTGTATTTTAAGATGCACTCACAAATTTCATATAAATTTGCCAAATATCAACTGCTTGTTTATTAAAAGTATTTTCCAAATCTACATATGAGAACTTATTTAAAGGTTGTCTATTTTTCCTTGATCAAATAACACTACCTACTTCATATTTAAATATTTATTTCAGATTTATGACAATTTTCCAACTATATTTCAATGATTTATAGTGTTCCTATTTTCTGTATGAATCCAAAGTTCTTTTCTGATAAATATTGGTGGGATAATAATAATATTATTATTGTTTGTCTAAAATTTTGGGACCATTTATATTGATGTTAGAGATGTTACTAATTAAGATAAAGAAATAAGATTCAAAGTATGTAAAATCATTTTTTAAAAATGCACATTTTGGGCTGGGATTGTGGCTCAGGGTAGTGTCCTTGACTGGCATATGTGAGGCACTGGGTTCGATTCTCAGCACTGCATATAAATAAATAAAATAAAGATCTATCAATAACTAAAAATTTTAAATCTTTTTAAAACATGCTCATTTCAGTTATTCTTATTATTCTTGCCAAGTGATGGAAAATTCAGATTCAATTTTTTATGAGTGAATGTTAAGGTAAACTACATTTGAGCCATTAGAAATATTGCTGAATCTTCTGGAAAATTTCTGCTCTGTAGTAAGTGTTATTATTTGAAAGCAACACTCTGTAGTGAAGATGATTCTCTCTTTACATTTAAGTTGGAAGAAAAGTAATGGGGCTTCTATTTTGTATTGAATACTGTGCCAATAATTTTATTCACATTATCTCATTTGATTATCACATAACTTTGCTAGGTTCATATTATTATCCCATCTTATGAATCCGGAAATTAACGCCAAAGAATAATTGTCCAAATTTACTAAACTGTAAGCAAGGGAGCTGGAGGTTCAAGTCTGCTTGCCTTCAAAGCTCAGACTTCCAGAACACATTTCACTGAGAATAGGGAATGTGTGCCCTCCATTGAGTCTATCACCATCGTATCTACAAGAAGGAACTTTGTCCCAGTGTCAAACACTTTCATATCATTATACAGTTTTATATGAGCACTTTGTAGAAGTTCACATATACACAAAGCCAAATGCTGTTTTTACATTATCTGCACAATGTTGTCTCTTTTCCTTTAGTATGGCATTTGGTTAAAATCTCTCCTAAGATTGATACATCGATTTCCCCTCACATACCTCTTTTTTCTAAACATTCTTACTATTTTTCCAAGAGGATCATTTCTTGCCTTCCTTCTATCTCCTTGGAAATGGACTCTTAGGATACTCACCTGTGACAACAAGTTTGGTTCCACTACCGAAGACTTTCTCAAAGTTGTTCCACAGTGACATAACCCTCATCAAAAACATTAGATGAATTTGGCGTCTCTGAGTTCTTCAAATTCTAGTGGCAACATGATGGCCTAGAATTTTTAAGAGAATAGGGTTCTGGTTCTGGTTAATTTCACTCAGCAAGTTCTATGGCTAAGCAAATCAACTAACTTTAAGGGTTTTCATGTTACGTTTATCTTAAAACGATGACAGTGGTGTCAGTCAATTTAAACCAGAAATAAAGTGAGTCTAAAATCAACAATTTGATTAAAATATTATAGAAAAACAGCAGATTGTTATCATCATTATCATTGTTATAATTAGAAACTTGCTGCTACGTCTATGGGCTTCAACATGACAATTAATTTCACAGGACTAAGCTTTGGCCTTACCCATCAAAGTTGGGGATTGCAATTAGATCCATGGTGATTAAGGAGGGAGAGTTGTTCCTCTGTCTTCTGTTCAAATATGTCAGGAATTCTCAAAGCCATCATTATAGGAAATGTTCCTTTTACACTAGCAAGCTTTATCAGGCTCTTATCTGTCTTATCCTCTCCTTTTCAGCAAACAAAGGGAGCCCCAGCTCAAACCAGCAGGTGCAGTTGGTGAGTGGAAACACTTCACTTCTGCTGTCCAAAATAATAGCTCTTTTCCCAACCAGCAGCCCCACACGTGTGAATTCTAAGCTTTGTCTAGAATGTTCAGCCTCAACTTTTTTTGATCATTTCCTGCCAAAGTATACGTTACAACTGCTGGCTTGGGCTGTTGAGGCAGAATGACCAGAGAAATGACAAGAAGCCTGGTCCTCAAAGCCATCTTAGGTCACTGTGTGCTATCTGCCTGACCTATGTGCTGAGAGACCCTATGTGTGCATCACATGAAATGTCATGAGACCCACAGCACCAATGCAGGGCTGGGATGCAATGAGCTTAATGATCCTTCCCTCAGTTCCCCAAGTGGAGGTTGAAAGTGATGTCCTCACTACATGTCACTTCCTTCGGAAAGGGCTTGCCCATTGCAATTCTTTTCTAATTTTATAATGGGAAAAAGCATCATATTTAAAAATTAGGTGTGCTACTTTTATCAGTTATTAAAAAGCATATATTCCACTACACTTTTCTTCTACTTTGACCATAAAGTCTCTGTGCTTGTTGCTAGATAATCACAGGACTTTTTTCTTATCCTTAGTGCTTTTGACCTATTTTTATTGAATGATCTGACTCTACTTGTGTATTTTATTTTAGATTTTCTCAAATAGATATTGGTAATAGATTGTTTTAATATATGATCCCTGATTTGTGTATATAGCATGTTTCTCTTTTGTTCCCAGGGTTTTCAAGATTTGTAAAGTCTAGCTCAAATAAGGCACAAAGGATGGAGAACAGGTTTGCAAATCCTGGCTCTGTTACAGAGATGCCGACATGCTAAATTTAAATATTCTGAAGGTGCTGGAACACAATATGAAACTTTCTTTTCCCAAATTATTCCTTTACAGTGGTTGCCTTTTGGTTAGAAAGGGGAATAAGTCAGGCTATAATAGGGTACTGTCTTTGTACCTTTAGGAAGAGGTACCCTTCAAGGACAAAATATGAGCCTACAATGAACCTCAGTTGATGCTATTTTTGGAGATAGCACTGGTAACAGGAAAAGAAAAAGTAAAAAAAAAAATTAACATGAATTTGGCAATTATTACTTGGGACTAAGATCTCTGCAGTTTATACTGCTTCACACCTTTATAGAATAATATGAATGGAAAAAATGCTTTCCTTTTGCTTTGTGAGGTGATAATACCCAGTGATATCATTCAGGGGTTCAGGGGTTTCAAATGGACACTCACACATGAGTTGATTTAGAACTCTCCTGAGTGATAGTTTTTTTTTTGTTGTTGTTGTTGTGGTTTTTGGTATTGGGGATTGAACACAGGAATCCTTAACCATAGAGCTACATTCCCAGTCATTTTTGTTAAAAGTTCATATTTTGAGACAAGTTCTCACTAAGTTGTTTAGGGCCCCATGGATAAATTGCTGAGGTTTAGGAACTTCTGATCCTCCTGCCTCAGGTCCCCCAAATCCTTGGGGTTATAGGCATGTACCACCATGTCTGGCGTGATAGATTTTTTCAATACAGATTAAGCCTGAACAAAATTTTTAACAAAATGTAAGAGTACAAAAAGCAATATTTCTCACCAGCATGGTAGAGCTTGTCTGTAAACCCAGTGACTTGGGAGGCTGAAGCAGAGTATCGTGAGTTCAAAGCCCACCTCAGCAATTCAAGAGGCCCTAAGCAACTTAGTGAGACCCTGTCTCTAATTAAAAAAAAAAAAAATTAAAAAGAGCTGGGGATGTGACTCAGTGGCTAAACACCCCTGGGTTCAATTCCTGGTACCAAAAATCAAATAGATATATATGCAATATTTCTTAACCTCTATTTTTATCAATGTGTACTTTGTACACATAAATCAATTAGGAAAGTAAATTTTATAAGTAGAAATCTGTTTATGTTTTCAAGTTGTGGGTGGAAACAAACTTTTTAAAACACCATAGATAGCTACTGAAAAAAGAGGGAGCACCTTGTATTCAGTTAGATAATATATGAGATTTGAGATCATACATATTCCACTCTAATCACTTTTAGAAGTGGTACATTTAGTCTTGTATATAAAAAGCATTTGTTCTAAAGTGAACAATAGATTAGATGGTGGATAATACATTTATTATTATTCCTGAGTTTATATAGCCCTCCTTTCCTGGGTTTGAATCATAAATAATCAATATGGCATCATCTGCCACCTGCCAGTCATTGGAATAGATAATTTCTATATTTAATTTCAGTGAAACTTTATAATATCCACCTAAGGTAGATCTCATTATCTTCTTTATACAGATCAACTAGAATGAAAAATTTCAAAATTTGCTCAGTTACTGAATAATTTTAAGTACATATCAGAAGAATGGTCATGAAGTAACATGGAGTATATAAACAGATACATTATTGTGTAACTAGTATGTTTCTAATTTCGTAAAATAAAAATGAAATTTGCACAGATAAAACTCTTAGGTGAAACTATAATGAAAGGATAATGACTATGAGTGACAATATACATTTTAAGTTTTTGTTTATTTTATGTATTTTATAATTTTTCTATAATTAGTTAAGAATTTTAATCAGGTATTGACTGTTTAACCAAATTTTACTTGCTGAAGGATGGGTACATAGAAAGTGGTAGTTCCAGAAGTCATATTCTAGAATTGAAGTTGTGTCTTTCCTTGTACTGAAAATCCTTCTCAGAGAACTTATTTATTTAATTCCATTGCTACAATTCACATTGGGTCCATTGGAAAAAAGAGGACCAGAAAATAGTTTTCAAATTATTTATTTCTTCAAATAGTATAAATCACTAAGGAAATAATTTTTTTCATGTTTTCAATGTTTTATCAACTTTATGAAAAATCTCTGAAAACTTCCATCTCAGTGGAACCAATAAGCAAGGATCATCCTTTTGAAATTTTCTACCTCATTCAGGCAAAACTGAATTTTTAAGTCTAATGAGGGATTGAAAAAAAACTTGTTGAACTGAATTTAAAAAACAAGAACGAAGGCAAAATATACCTTATATCATTTTTTAATATGGCCATATGTGACAAAACAAATTTGTTTTCAGTACAAGAAATGGGACCCATGGGCACTCTATCACTGAGCCCAGTCCCTTTTATTACTTTTTTATTTTGAGAAAGGATAAACCATTACATTGTCTAGGCTGGCCTCAAAACTTTTAATCATCCTGCCTCAGCCTCCTGAATAAAGTGGCTGGGATAACAAAGGCAGGTGCTACCTTAACATTTATTATTACTGATCCTGTGGCCAAATCACCAAATATTTCATCTTTCCATAACCTAATGACCACTTTAGCAGATGTTAACCCCACTGGGTACTTTAAGAATCAAATAAATCAAATTTCTAGTCTAAACAGGCTTAGAAACTTTTCAACAAAGAAATAACACAGGCACCTAATACCTCCCTCCACCAGGGATCCATGGCTACTCCAAATTCCAGGTTAACATCTCCCATCAGAGTGCCTCTTAGAACTTGGACCAAGTCACCTGACCTCTTAGGAGATCCCACTACGATGAATAACTAAACCAGGAGCAATTCCAAAATCTCTGAGTCAGCCTAGGATCTGGAGCCTGTAACACTTGTATTCTTGCTTCCCCTCCCTATCTAACCCTGCAGAATTGAAGAAAAAAGAAAAAAATAAATGACCTGTAATGATGAGCTTTGTTCCAGGACCAAACACTTGGATTATTCTGCCATTTATTAACTAGCTATTTTAATAAGTCTTTATAAAAAAAAATCTCCTTTTGCATTTACTTTAAAATTTCAGCAATATTTTTCAATATTTATATAAAAACATAAAAGGTAAGTTTGCTGACATTAAACAAAGGCAAAGCTCAAACAAAATCACATTAGAATGTGCAATCAGGAATTTAAGGCCCAAGCACACTGTGCCTGGGCAGCTTGGGTTTTGGTTGTCCTTCCCTATCACATATGTGGGAAACTCTGATTTGATAATTTTTTGTAACTTTGCCAGAAGCATTTAAATCTCCTCCCTTATTAAAGGGTCTCCATGTATAAAATGTTTCTTGGCCTACAATGTAATTTATATTATTTAAAATTTCTTCAATTTCAGAAAGAACCAGTAATAGAAATCATATATTTGAGCATTTAATAAATATATATTCAATGTGATTCATAGGTATTTTGCAATTCATATGTATGAATGGGTAGACATCTGGTTTGATAATAAAGTAACTTCTGTTTAGAACCCAATTCCCCTTAATAGGGACTTTGATGAATTATGAGAATGTGAATGCTTACTGATGATCCCTTAAGCACTTCATTGATGACTGACTGCTCTCTTTGACTTGAAAATACCACTTCAGCTCCAGAGCATTGAAACTGCTCATCAAAGGCCCCCAGCCAGTGGCTATTCTTGCAGAAGTCCCATTATGAGTGTTGTAACTAAGAATATAATTCAGCACAGCTGCTATAGTTTTTTTTTTAAACCAGCTTCAATATTTCTGACACACTTGATGCCAATACATAAATAAAATTGAGGGTAATAGTATCAAAATGACTTGCCATTTTATAGAAAGAAGTACACTAAGATTCATGTCTTGAATATTTAGTAAATTTATATTCATTATGACTTCCATGATCTCTGTTGGAGAAAAAGAGAGTAATTTCAGTACCATGATTAAAACAAGCATTGTGTTCTTGCATGAGTAATATTACAAACTGTTACTAAACTGTACATTAAAAAGTCCCTGTAAAAATTCGAGCTACAAGAAGAGGAAATATTCTTATTATTAAAACATGACTTAATGTTTGTAATATTATAAAATGATTCATTCCAAGTGTTTTGGAATAGACAAGTGTCCCCTGAATCCCAGACCTTGAAACAGTTACTAGTCCTGTGACTAGGAAGTAACTGCGTTTCTCTAAGCCTTACTGTTTTCATCTGTAGAAAGGAAATGAGAGGTTTACTTATATAGAGCTGTTGAGTGATGAAAGAGAGCACTAAAACTCTAGCATGTTTTCTGCCCTCCCAAAAATTACCTAGAATTTTTCTCTTTAATGATATAATATTGTGCCATTTCATCAAGTTATTCCTCCAAACACAACACTTATTGAATATCACTCATCCAATATATCTAGGACCAAAAGTGTCTCAGAGCTTGGATTTTTACAGTTTCTGATGT